CGAACCTGTGTCCCCTGCATCGGTAGGCGGACTCTCAACCACTGCGCCACCAGGGAAGCCCCAGAGAATGTTTTTTAACGTATACATAGCTTACTTATAAACTACAAAGCCATTAAGATGAAAAACTTACGGGGTGCTGTAGGATATACGGTTGCGGTTGCATCCAAGAAGGGCTTTGCACCTGGAAAAGGAAGGATTTGGGAAGAAACATTGATTTCCATTAGAGTGCTACCTATTTCTCTAGAGCTCTTTTAATCATGTTAAGATCTACAGAAGGAAAATAAGGAAACAATACTATCAATGATTAAAAAGATTAAGGCAGTTAGAGTTCTTGACAAACTGGTCACTCTGAATAGGATGAAATGATTATTTAAAACCAAGTTCCATTTGCCCACTCAAAAAGTATTTACTGAGTATCAAGCACCAAAGAGAAAAAGGAAGACACAGGTCCCACCCTCAAGAAATTTACTGTCTAAGCAAGGGAGATAAACAAGTAAACAACTCAAAGAAACAGTGAAAAGTATTACAATCAAGATATGAACGTAGGTGCTTTAGGAATACAGAGGAATGAGAATTAATTCCAGCACATCTTATTAGAAACTAATCCTTAAAGTATGTGCTTATTTAAAAAGAATAATCAAATTCAACCCCCTTTCTATACCCAGGACGTTAAATTTCAGAAATCTTGTCTGGCAGTCAACAACTTCTAGTTAGTGTGAAATATAAAAATCTGAAATCCAGATTTAGGAAATTCAACTTCAGTAACTAGATCCTGACATCTACAGTCAAAAGGGCATCTATATAGTAGACCCTCTGGATCGAGAAGTCTAAGACGTGAGAGTCAGGTTCTGTGGCAGGAAAGAAAGCATGTGTAGTCTCTGCCATCCCAGAGAAGGATTATCAGCCCGTTTCTTGATGCCCAGAGCTTTCCTGAGACTACGTGATTTCAAAATAAGTTTGCCTCTAATTCTTGAGAACAAACCCCTCCTGTATCTCATCCGCTACTGTTAACTTCAGAGGTTCTACAGAGAGGATATGGGGAAGAGTCATGGGGGAAGAATGTATTATGATTTACCTTGATAGCAGAGCCCCGATACTTGTTTTCTCTGGTTTCCTTTGCCACCTAAGGCAGACCAAAGTTAAGTGCTTCTGCCTTGTTAACATTTCAGTTATCTGGACTGCAGCCTTTCCCCAACGGGATATTGGTGGTTTCTTGCAGATGCCAATTTCTCAAATCCAATTGTATGAGCATACAGTGGTTTAGCAGAGAAAGGCTTGCTCCAACAGGAGTGCAAGGCCTTCACTGAATAAATCACGGGGAGGCGAGCAGCTCCCGTTGTATATAGACCCCAATTTGGGCCAGATGCACCCATTTTGGGTATAATTCCAGTGGTCCTAATAATCTAATAGCTTATATCATTACGGGGTTAGGAAGCCATGACATCTAATACAATTTTCTTTCTTAAGCAACAAATATGCTGCTGTCAATTTCTATTCCTCAATTTTCCCTAACTATAAAATGGGAATAATAATCTATGTTCTGTGAATTCTTTATCATTGGCTCTTTATCCTCTTTTGGATCATGAATCCTTTTGAAAACCTGATGAAGGAAATAGACCTTTTCCCCCCAACTGACTGCACACATACAAGCAACATTCTGCAAACAATTTAAGAGAATCACAGACCACTTAAAGCCCATTTGCTGACTCCATTGGGTTCCTGAACTTATAGGGTTAAGAATCAGTCTAAAAGGTAATGGCACTGAGTGCCAGGCAATTGGAATGAATTTCCACATGTATCTTAGGGAAACACAGATTGCCTAGGAGAAGAAATCAGGCCTTTGTAATGAAATGTTGTTTCCAGTTAAGTCTATCAAATCTATTAACAACCCTGGTCTCCTAGTTTTTTTCTATTCTATGAAATAATTCTGTGGCCAAAATGCTCACTGCTCTTATACTAAAGAGAGAAAAAGAGGTGGTGAGGAGAAGCATTCATAGCTGTAAATATCTATAGCTGCATACATTCAAATTAATATGCACAATCTTCCATTTGTCTGAGGATAAGCTTACTTGTCTCTATTTTTAGTGGTATACATAAAGAGGTTTCCAAGTTCAGATAGTTAAGAAAGAAGACTACTCTTCAACAACAGATATAGGAATTGTTAATTAGGGAAAATGCACTAGAGCAGATCTCATTGAATCTCATACAGGAAAGGAAAACAGAAATCTTAAGTTCAAAATCATTAAAAAGGCATTAAATGAGTGAGTGCTATGCCTAGCAAACTGAAGCACCAGCGTTAAGTAACTTAACCACCCAGAGAGATAAAAGGAAATGAGTGACGACTCAAAGAAAGGAAGTGAAAAGAACCTAGAAGCTGAGGGAGGCTACTTAACAACCTCAGTTTTAGTGCATTTAATCTCTTCTCTTTGTTATCCAGAGCTACTTTTATGCTTTTCGATCATACACGTTTATGGTATTGCTTACATTGACCAATCCATTATTTTAAAAAAGCAGAATGGATATACTCTTACCAGCCAGTTAATCTTGGATGTAAAGGATGATAATAATAATCATAGCTAACATTTACTGAGTGCTAACGATATGCCATGTACTGTGGTGAGCTCTTTACATAGATAGTCTCATTTAGTTCTTATCATAAGCCTATGAGACAGAAACTATTATTATCCCCATTTTAAAGATGAGGAAACTGAGGCTTACAGAAGTGAAATAACACAGTTATTATTGTCGTCCCCTACCCTCAGAAACCAGGGCTCCAATAACTAACTCAATTATTTTAAAAACAAGAATACACAGAAGTTTAGTTTAGTCACACAGGATCTCAACAGTCAACAAAAGTGTATTCCCATGTCTGTAACTGACTCCGTTAGAGTGCCCCTGTCAGGGCCAAGGCGGCAACCCTGTGAGAGGCACTCTGATACGGGAGGACAAGTACATGTGCACCACCATGGGGTTCATGGAGAACAGGAGCTACCCCTGCAATAAAACCAAATCAACATTACAATAAGGTGCTTAATGAGATCTTGGTTCTAAGCTGGGAGTTTAGGGTAAAGCCTCTTCACAAAATAACATAAACAGGGAGTCACCTCTCTTTTTTGACCTCAAATCTCACTGCATTGCTCATTTCATGTTACCTAACAGAGACACGTCTTTATCTATTAACATGTTTACTTGCTCTTTTGTTGG